CCGCCAGGCGGATCCCGCGGACGATGGACTCCTCGCGCGAGATGATCGCCCAGGGCGCCGTCGGGGAGCCGGACTGCATGATCGCTTGGCTGAACAGGTGCCTGAAAGGGAAACAGAGGCCGGGTAATTTGTTAGGTCGCGCAGAAACGCGGGGAAAATGGTATACACCTTGACAGAGGCGAGAGTAGGTGCATGGAAACGGAAACGGCGCCAGCGCTCTCTCCGAACAGGGTCACGTTGTCGGGGTTTCCGCCGAAGGCACCGATATTGTCGCGCACCCACTGCAGGGCCATCATCTGATCGAACAGACCCGCGTTACCGGGAACGTCCGACGTACCGAAGTACAGGAAGCCCAGGCTGGCTACTCGGTACTGCATGGACACTAGGATCACCTTCTCCTCGGACACCAGGGTTTTGTGGTCGTAGACGTCCAGGGTCGCCGAGCCGGAGTAGAAACCACCTGCAATTACGATCCGGGTCTCCGAATTTCTCTGCGTGTGGACGCAACGTTTTCGATGACGATTTTATGAGACTTTTGGTAATTTGGTCTTTTGAGAGTTGTGGCGATGCTTGTTGTAGTGTTGCTGTTTTACTGTGAGGAAATCTGGTGACCTTTATATTTATGTACTTTTGCATTTACAAATTTTTTGAGTTTCTTTGAACTTTTCAAGGTTTTTCAAGTTCTTCATGGCGTGACGCACTTGTGAGGGACTGTGACGCACTCGTGGTGTACCTATGACGCACTTGCGACGCACTCATGACGCTAGTGACGCACTCATGACACACTCATGACGCACCCACGACGCACTCATGACATTAATGACGCACTCATGGGGCTAGTGACGCTCTCATGACACACTCATGGCTATAGTGACGCACCCACGACGCACTCATGACTATAGTGACGCAACCATGACGCACTCATGACTATAGTGACGCACCCATGACGCACTCATGACTATAGTGGCGCAGCCATGACGCATTCGTGATACTAGTGACGCACTCATGATATTAGTGACGCACCCATGACGCACTCGTGACTATAGTGACGCACCCATGACGCACTCATGATTATAGTGGCGCACCCATGACGCATTCGTGATACTAGTGACGCACCCATGACGCACTCGTGACTATAGTGACGCTCCCATGACGCACTCGTGACTATACTGACGCACCCATAACTATAGCGACGCACTCATGACGCTAGTGACGCATCCATGACGCACCCATGATATTAGTGACGCATCCACGACGCACCCATGATATTAGTGACGCACTAGCAATTATAGTGACGCACCCATGACGCATTCATGACGCTAGTGACGCACTCGTGAAAAATAACCAGTGACACTCACGTGACACACTCGTGACAAACCAGTGATGCACCAGTGACGCACTCGTGACGCACTCGTGACGCACTCATGAAGTACTATTGACGCACCCATGACGCACCTATGACATACCAGTAACGCAGCAATGACGCATTCATGACACACCAGTGACGCATTCTTGACACACCAGTGACTCGTGACGCACTCGTGACACACGCCTGATGCTACAGTTTGAATGTGAATCAGACACGTACCTTCATCAAATTGTAAGTGGAATGTAAAGTGCATCTAACGTCTTTAGCAATAATTAGTTAGATGTTTATAACAGTTTAAAAAATTGGAGAATATGGGGTTAAATTTACAAGTCCTTTGCAAGCTTCTAATCTTCGAGTCAAAGACTCTAAGTTACTAAACGTGAAATTCGTAAAGTTACCCCCTCAAATTCCTAGATCACCAGATTTCCCTACACGTGCATGCATACAGTTGCTACGTTAAACCACGTTTTCTGCGTCAGACAAAAATACATCCACGGTTTTGAAATACCGCAGAAAGGTTATATTAAAAGGGTATATTCTGCAAGGATAATTCGAAGCGACGAAAACGAATCGCGAGAATAATTAGCGAGAGCCCGGAAGAAAGGCAGCCCTTGAGGCGATAACGTTCTCTCCGATGTCGTAGACTTTGGTTCGAAAAGGGAGCCGTCTTAAAATAAGGCCGCGGGCCAAAAATAATCGTTTCCCGGGAAGAAACGACCACCTGTAAAAGAACGTCGGCGTCGCGTCGATCCAGACGACGTCGCGCTCTAATTCGTGCCGCGAGCGTCTCTCTCTTTCGCCGAGGAACAGGTGTCAGCTGGAACTCACCACCGAATATCCATACCATAACAGCGGCATTGGTAGGCCTGGGTCGTGGCGCGACCACGTTCACGTAAAGGCAATCCTCGCTGAGCGGCGTGTTCGGATTCCACATGGTCGCGCCTGGAAAGTCGCCGAACACGGTGTCCAGAATCTGCACGCAACTATTCGGCAGCGCGGTGGCGTTCAGAATCCCCGACCAGCGTTCCGCCGGCCTCGGATGCCGGAACCTCAGGGGTCCTGCAACGGAATACGCTTTTTCGAAGGGAGAAAAAAATAGAAAGGTTAATCGCCGATAGACCGTGTACCTACCGAGAGGTTTCTGCGCGTAAGGGATACCGAGCCAGGCGTCGACCTCCTTTCCCGTGGTGGCAGTCATGGTCATACCCTTGACCTTGCCCTTTCTCGTCTCAACTATCAGCGGATCGTCGCTCGATGCCAGGGCCGCTGCTCTCGGCAACTCCTCGCTCGATCTGAAGCTCTTCGCGTCCTCGCGCGACGCGTCCGCGTGGTGTCTGCTCCTGTGGCTCAGGGAACAACAGCACGAGTCCAACATCAGCACCAAACTTAGCACCAACAGCGCCTCCAGCTTCGTCAAGGAACTTCGGTTTCTTGGCCTGAACATCTTTTCCTGGAAACATATACGATCGACACCTCATCTTACTGTTTTAGACTCATTCCATTATCAGCTTGAGATATTCAATTTTAGTTTTTTTACAGAATTTCTATTTTCAATTTTAGTTACATTATTAGGGAAATTTTTATTATTCAGTTCCACCTGTTTTCTTACTTTTATGATTGTTTTTAGATTGACTTCATTTCTACCTTCTTTTTTGAGGTTTTTAATAGGGAATTCACTCTGGTGTGTAACGCCGAATGTGTCGATGACGTCACATGTGTAGCGTTACCTCAAATTACTTGGTGAACATATTGATCTAATAACTGATTAGTCACTTTACAGTCAGATTTACGACCATATCAAATTTACTTCAATAAAGTTACATTATTTAGTTTATTATCCAAGCGAGAGTTAATTTAGACGCGTACGCTTGGACTGTCAAATGTAAAACAAGATGGCGGCGGTACTACACAAAATGGCGACAAGCGCTACTCAAAATGGTGTCCTACATGTACGTAACTTTGAAACGAGTGTATTTATAAAGTTCAGGCAATCCTCGCTGAGCGGCGTGTTCGGATTCCACATGGTCGCGCCTGGAAAGTCGCCGAACACGGTGTCCAGAATCTGCACGCAACTATTCGGCAGCGCGGTGGCGTTCAGAATCCCCGACCAGCGTTCCGCCGGCCTCGGATGCCGGAACCTCAGGGGTCCTGCAACGGAATACGCTTTTTCGAAGGGAGAAAAAAATAGAAAGGTTAATCGCCGATAGACCGTGTACCTACCGAGAGGTTTCTGCGCGTAAGGGATACCGAGCCAGGCGTCGACCTCCTTTCCCGTGGTGGCAGTCATGGTCATACCCTTGACCTTGCCCTTTCTCGTCTCAACTATCAGCGGATCGTCGCTCGATGCCAGGGCCGCTGCTCTCGGCAACTCCTCGCTCGATCTGAAGCTCTTCGCGTCCTCGCGCGACGCGTCCGCGTGGTGTCTGCTCCTGTGGCTCAGGGAACAACAGCACGAGTCCAACATCAGCACCAAACTTAGCACCAACAGCGCCTCCAGCTTCGTCAAGGAACTTCGGTTTCTTGGCCTGAACATCTTTTCCTGGAAACATATACGATCGACACCTCATCTTACTGTTTTAGACTCATTCCATTATCAGCTTGAGATATTCAATTTTAGTTTTTTTACAGAATTTCTATTTTCAATTTTAGTTACATTATTAGGGAAATTTTTATTATTCAGTTCCACCTGTTTTCTTACTTTTATGATTGTTTTTAGATTGACTTCATTTCTACCTTCTTTTTTGAGGTTTTTAATAGGGAATTCACTCTGGTGTGTAACGCCGAATGTGTCGATGACGTCACATGTGTAGCGTTACCTCAAATTACTTGGTGAACATATTGATCTAATAACTGATTAGTCACTTTACAGTCAGATTTACGACCATATCAAATTTACTTCAATAAAGTTACATTATTTAGTTTATTATCCAAGCGAGAGTTAATTTAGACGCGTACGCTTGGACTGTCAAATGTAAAACAAGATGGCGGCGGTACTACACAAAATGGCGACAAGCGCTACTCAAAATGGTGTCCTACATGTACGTAACTTTGAAACGAGTGTATTTATAAAGTTCAAACCTTTATATAATTGTTATCTGTACATTACTAATTTAGTTTTCTTTTTTACTTCATTCTGTGTTACTAAATTTATATTCCTGTGCTTTCTTCTTTTAATAAGATGTAATTCGTTAAGTGAACTCATAAGATCTTAACAAATCTTTGTCTATTTCATTTTGTTGTCAAACAAAGTTACACTATTTTCTTTATTATCCAAGCGAGTTAATAAGATCGTACGCTTGGACCGTCAGATGTAAAACAAGATGGCGGCAGTACCACGCAAAATGGCGGCGAGAACTACTCAAAATGGCGTCCTACCTGTACGTAACTTTTAAAGAAGTGTATTTATGAAGTTGACACTTTTGTATAATTGTTATTTATGTACATTATTAGTTCAATTTTCTTTTTCATTTCAGTTTGTGTCACTAAATTTATATTCCTGTGCTTTTTTCTTTTAATAAGATGTATTTTGTTAAGTGTACTCATAAGACATCTTAACAAATCTTTGTCTATTTCATTTTATGTTGCCAAATTTTGTTTGTACAATGTATTCATTCAATTTTAAATATGTTTTAGATGTTTGAGACTAGTATCAAGACAATTTTAAGACAGACTTTCATGAAGTTTTTAAGACAGACTATTTAAATAAAAATACACAATGTGAAGACATATCAAAGCTCCACACACAGTTTACCTATTAAATCTACAGTTTTAAAGCGTACGTCAGTTAAAAAAACATCTCTTAAGTACAATATGTACTTGTTAAGTAGACGTATAAAATAATAACATGATTTGAAACAGTCAGTCATGTGTGAATGAATGGTGTTAATAACAGAGGGTCCATCCGAAAGTCAGGCCCTTCCGGATCGAGCGGAAGCGATCGTTGCCGAGTCCGAGCGATTCGGCGTCGATCGATTCCCGTGGACTAATTGGAAACGGTGTTGGTCTTTGTTCGAACGACGTACCCTCCAATGGCGCGTTTCCCTATCGCTTTCACCCGTCTGCACCGTTTACTCGATAATTAAGTGTACCTTTCGAATCGATGTCGAACTTTGAAAAATCTCTAAATTCCCGTCTAAAAGCGTACGTAAAGAAATTCGAAAGAAATTACCTCCAGGAAATGTACCGAAGGTCTGCGTTGATTGGTCATTTCCTTCTACGTGTGATCACGCGCGGAGGTGTTACACGCGGAAGCGTTCGTGAGAGAAAATAGCGCATTAGCTGACGACAATTTATAGCCGTCCCCCGAGTCGACCGTCTCTTTCCGAGTTTCCTATGTTTCGATTAATTTAGATCTTCCGGTTTACTCACCGATTTCCGAGCGAAACCTGTTGCCTTTCGATACGAGCGATCACCGCATCTCCGGAGGACAGGAACGAGAGAACTCTTTCTGTCGAGAGACACGCACGAACGGACGCTGCGAATGGAGCTGTTGTCGATAGTTGTCCCACTCGACGCGATGGCAGCATCGTGCAACGCGTTTAGATCACTCGGATTAGCTATCATCTTCTACCCTCGAATTCTCTTTTTACGTTCTAACCTCTCTTTACATTCGCCTCTCAATTCCACTTCTCTTTACATTCACGTCTCAAATTAATTCCACTTCTCTTTACATTCACGTCTCAAATTAATTCCATCTCTCTTTACATTCTACTCTCGAATTAATTCCATCTCTCTTTACATTTTACTCTCAAATAATCTCAATAATTTTTTTTCAGATAATTACTCGTATCTTTTTCGAGAAACTACATCGTCTAGTTTTTGCTTAGAGTATCTAGTTTTCACTTAGAAATTAATATTTAGCGAAAAGGAATGGTGGCGGTAGGCTTCTAGTTTTCGCCGCTAGGCGGCGCAGGAGACGAAGGCTTTCTCGCTAGTACTCAGCGAGTCTTCCTACACAAATGTGTTTAAATTGATCCAAACGAGTCTTAATGAGACCAAATGAGTCCAAACAAGTTCAAACGAGTTCAAAATGAGTCTAAACTTGTCCAAACCACTCCAAAGGAGTCCAAAATGAGTCTAAACTTGCCCAAATTATTCCAAACTAGTTCAAATGAGTCCAAAATGAGTCTAAACTTGTCCAAACTACTTCAAAGGAATCCAAAATGAGTCTAAACTTGTCCAAATTATTCCAAACTAGTCCAAAATGAGTCTAAACTTGTCCAAACCACTCCAAACGAGTCCAAAATGAGTCTAAACTTGTCCAAACCACTCCAAACGAGTCCAAAATGAGTCTAAACTTGTCCAAACCACTCCAAACGAGTCCAAAATGAGTCTAAACTTGTCCAAACCACTCCAAACGAGTCCAAAATGAGTCTAAACTTGTCCAAACCACTCCAAACGAGTCCAAAATGAGTCTAAACTTGTCCAAACCACTCCAAACGAGTCCAAAATGAGTCTAAACTTGTCCAAACCACTCCAAACGAGTCCAAAATGAGTCTAAACTTGTCCAAACCACTCCAAACGAGTCCAAAATGAGTCTAAACTTGTCCAAACCACTCCAAACGAGTCCAAAATGAGTCTAAACTTGTCCAAACCACTCCAAACGAGTCCAAAATGAGTCTAAACTTGTCCAAACCACTCCAAACGAGTCCAAAATAAGTCTAAACTTGTCCAAACCATTCCAAACGAGTCCAAAATGAGTCTAAACTTGTCCAAATTATTCCAAACTAGTCCAAACGAGTCCAAAATGAGTCTAAACTTGTCCAAATCACTCCAAATAAGTCCAAAATGAGTCTAAACTTGTCCAAATTATTCCAAACCACTCCAAACGAGTCCAAAACGAGTCTAAACTTGTCCAAACCACTCCAAACGAGTCCAAAATGAGTCTAAACTTGTCCAAACTACTCCAAACGAGTCCAGAACGAGTCTCCACCCTTAACAACCTCTTCCCATCGTATGGAAGGGTACACTCCTCAAATAATCACAGTATCACGACATTTGCATGAATAAATTCATGACATCAGTAAATACATGACACCAATAAATACTTGATGCGACTAAATACATGACATCAGTAAATACACGAAGCACCATATTCATGGAAAACGCAAGTCGATCGATGTACCTCTGTTTACAACGCCCTTTAGGCCGTCCACTCTTTTACCGATTCTCTCTCGAGCTTCCGAACTACTCGTCTTCGGCTTCGCGATACACTCGTCGAAAGTTCGCCAAGTACCCTCCACTTCGTGGATAGCGGTAATTCGATTCTCTCGACTCCAATCGAACGACACAGAGAATGGCTTTCCAACTTGCCACTATACTTCTGCGAGGGTACTCAGATGTAATAAAAATCCAATCTAGTTTAGGTTTACAAATAACGAACTCTTCGAGTTTGAAAATACTCCAAATATTCTTATAGAGTTCTTTCAAGATTTCTGGGGTTTCAAGTGTCTCTAAAATTCTACATCCCCAAATTTCTGAACTACCCCTATATTCTATGTTCTATAGATTCTCAAATTTGTAGCTGAAGTTCGATAACTTCTAAATTGTTATTAGCTTCAAACTCCATTTATAAAAACGAGCAGAATTATTTTTCTTCAACTCCCTTTTCTTCGTCTGAAATTCGCAGTAAATTTGCAGTTGACTGTACGGCCTTAACGAGTCCGTACTCGGGCGATATTTCGAGGCGAAATCGAGCAGCTCGGAGAAACCAGCAAAACCGCGAAACGACAATAGCGCGACTCTGTATCGGAGTAATAAACGCTTTCGTATTACCTATGCGTTCGAATAACGAGCAATTCCCACGGGTCTCCCGGAAAATCTAACCCCTGAAATTTGTCGGGCCGCGTGCAATCGATTCGCTCGATTAAACCGGCAAAATATATCGGCTCGTCCCGATGGAATTCGCCGAATGCGAGATTTCGTTCCGCTTTATCGCACGGCCACAGCTGCTTGGCTTATCCGCTTATGCCCGGATTATTCGCCCAAATTATTCGCCATCGTTTCGCGTTGCTGGCAGATTAACGGAGAAAAAAGAGTACAGCGTCAGCCTTTTCGCGTTTTAATTTACTATGGCGCGAATTAGGGCAAGCTACGATACGGACTTTTCAAATTCTGCTAAGTTTATTTCGGAATTGTGCCAGAACTGTTCAAACTTTATTTTTAGATACAAATAATACATTGTCGCTTCTGTATTTTGTTGTCAACGAACCTAACCTAACTTTTACCTAACATAATGTGGCTTAAACATAACCTAACCTAACGTAACACTGTTTTAGATATGTTACATACGTTTATATCTATGAAATGATACACTGTTGCTGTTGTATTTTGTTATCAAGGAACCTAACCTCACTTTTACCTAACATAATGTGGCTTAAACATAACCTAACCTAACGTAACACTGTTTTAGATATGTTACATACGTTTATATCTATGAAATGATACACTGTTGCTGTTGTATTTTGTTATCAAGGAACCTAACCTCACTTTTACCTAACATAATGTGGCTTAAACATAACCTAACCTAACGTAACACTGTTTTAGATATGTTACATACGTTTATATCTATGAAATGATACACTGTTGCTGTTGTATTTTGTTATCAAGGAACCTAACCTCACTTTTACCTAACATAATGTGGCTTAAACATAACCTAACCTAACGTAACACTGTTTTAGATATGTTACATACGTTTATATCTATGAAATGATACACTGTTGCTGTTGTATTTCGTTTTCAACGAACCTAACCTAACTTTTACCTAACATAATGTGGCTTAAACATAACCTAACCTAACGTAACACTGTTTAACGAGTCCGTACTCGGGCGATATTTCGAGGCGAAATCGAGCAGCTCGGAGAAACCAGCAAAACCGCGAAACGACAATAGCGCGACTCTGTATCGGAGTAATAAACGCTTTCGTATTACCTATGCGTTCGAATAACGAGCAATTCCCACGGGTCTCCCGGAAAATCTAACCCCTGAAATTTGTCGGGCCGCGTGCAATCGATTCGCTCGATTAAACCGGCAAAATATATCGGCTCGTCCCGATGGAATTCGCCGAATGCGAGATTTCGTTCCGCTTTATCGCACGGCCACAGCTGCTTGGCTTATCCGCTTATGCCCGGATTATTCGCCCAAATTATTCGCCATCGTTTCGCGTTGCTGGCAGATTAACGGAGAAAAAAGAGTACAGCGTCAGCCTTTTCGCGTTTTAATTTACTATGGCGCGAATTAGGGCAAGCTACGATACGGACTTTTCAAATTCTGCTAAGTTTATTTCGGAATTGTGCCAGAACTGTTCAAACTTTATTTTTAGATACAAATAATACATTGTCGCTTCTGTATTTTGTTGTCAACGAACCTAACCTAACTTTCACCCAACATAATGTGGCTTAAACATAACCTAACATAACGTAACACTGTTTCAAATATGTTACATACGTTTATATCTATGAAATGATACACTGTTGCTGTTGTATTTCGTTTTCAACGAACCTAACCTAACTTTTACCTAACATAATGTGGCTTAAACATAACCTAACCTAACGTAACACTGTTTTAGATATGTTACATACGTTTATATATATGAAATGATACACTGTTGCTGTTGTATTTCGTTGTCAACGAACCTAACCTATCTTTTACCTAGCCTAACATAGCTTAAACATAACCTAATTGAACATAACTTAGCACTGCTTGACTAGATATAGAAGAAACACCTTATACGTAAACCTAACCTAACATAACTTAACTAAACCTCACATCGTTTGATTAGATATAAAAGAAACACCTTCTATGTGAACATAACCTAACGTAACCAAACCTAACATTGACTAGATGCAAAAGAAACCTATCCATGAACAAATTACAGTCTATCTACCCCCATAAATAAATGAATTAAAGAGCCACCTCCGTAAATAAATGAATTATAAGTAATACGTCGTAAAAACAAGATGTCGGAAAGTAAAAACAAAATGTCGGAAAGTTTCCAGAGGAGTGTACTTAAAAAGTTTGACGCGGTATCGAGTATTATCGACATCGGACGTTGATACGTCTCGATGGCAAAGAGCAGGTAAATACCATCGACGGGTGGAGTTTTATTAACGCGTTTAGCGGTGCACGAGTAAAACGAGGAGGACAGGGTGAACGGAGAGAAAGAGAGGAACGACGCGTTTGCGTGGCGATTATTCGAATTAATGCGACGATCAGGAAACGTTGACGGTCGCGTGAATAAATCATGGGGCGCGCACCCTCGCCTTCCACAAAGCGGATCGTTCGATAATTAATTACGCGCGTGCCGTTGGAACTCGGTGCCTCTCTTTCCCTCTTCGCGTTTATGTTAATTTCGGAATAAACGCGAACGCGATGCCGTTCTCGCGCGGGTGTGGAGGGCTAATCGGCACGGAAACGGCGGTGGGAATATGATTGGGTTTCGATAACTCGGTGTTGGAACGTAGAGGGTGTTGAGAAAGAAACGTATTGTAGTTTTGATATGTAGACCAGGGAGACGGTGGAGGAGTTACAACAGGGGACAGTGGAAGGTTTACAACAGGAGACGCAGGGTCTGATCAAACTGTGAAAGGGTTAAAGACCTTCTGGGTTATGAGACTATAACTAGGCTACACCTAGGCTACACTAGACTCATACGTACAACTCTGAACCTGGAGCGTAGGACGCTGAGCCTGACACCCCAGTTCAAGAAAGAGAAATGTGCATCTAGACTAACACCAGCAGTATTCTTAATTTCTTCCCACCAAAATTTAAATTCGGTCTAAAATGCTTTATTCAAAGTACCACAGCCAGCTACACATTCCCCGTCTCTTCAAATTGTCCTCCCAAAAAATTGTTCACACTTCGAGAAACCACTCATCGTTTCTCGACATCTTAATCGTCAACGTTCCTGATATATAAAATATTGCCCAGCAAAATCGTAGAAATTGTAGCAGGTGCTCCGGTTAACCCCTTGCGCTATGATTTGTCAGGTGCGCCGAACTAACTAATCGCGGCAGTAATATTAAAACAGACGGGGGAAGTTGAAATGTTATGCCAATTTGGTATTGTGCGTTGACTGTGCAAATTGTAATTGAACTCCAAATTGACGCTAATGAAAAATTCGAGGAAAATTGATCACAGACGAAGTGCGTCACGAGTGTGTCACGTGTGCGTCGCGAGTGCGTCGAGGGTGCGTCATGAGTGCATCACTGGTGCATTGCGTGTGCGTCAAGGTGCGTCGATGGTGCGTCATGAGTGCATTACTGATATATTACGTTTATGTCATGAGTGCGTCATCGGTGCGTCAAGGGTCCTTCACTGGTACACTACGTGTGCGTCACTGGTATATCAAGTGTGTCACGTGTGCGTCACGATCCACCAGTGCGTCAAGGGTGCGTCAAAGGTGCATTAAGGTTGTGTCATGAGTGCGTCAAGGTTGTGTCATAAGCGCGTCAAGGTTCTGTCATAAGTGCGTCAAGGGTGCGTCAAAGATGCATCAAGGTTGCGTCATGATTGCGTCAAAGATGCATCAAGGTTGCGTCATGACTGCGTCAAAGATGCACCAAGGTTGTGTCATAAGTGCGTCAAGGGTGCGTCACGAGTGCGTCATGAGTGCGTCACGGGTGCGTCATGAATTAATCGTCGGTGCGTCATAAATTAATCATTGGTGCGGCGAGGGTGCGTCACGAATTCATAATTAGTGCGTCAAGGGTGCGTCATGTATCCATCATTGGTGCGTCAAGGGTGCGTCACGAATTCGTAATTGGTGCGTCGAGGGTGCGTCGCGAATTCGTAGTTGGTGCGTCAAGGGTGCGTCATGAATCTATCATCGGCGCGTCAAGGGCGCGTCACGAATTCATCATAGGTGCGTCAAGAGTGCGTCACGATTTCATCATTGGTGCGTCATGTCTGCGTCACGAGTCACACTCGTCAAAATATTACAAGAGGTTAGTAATTCACCCTTGTCCAGCACAAAGAATCATTAACCGGTAAATTAAAAAATCTGACACTGGTCCCTTAAACCTATTAAGCCTATACGGCAAATATACATACAATCCACGATACTTACTCAGTGTCGATTTCGAAGGTTGAAGATATTCGTGGAAGTACTTGAACACGGAAGCCCTTTCTTCGTTCCTGCAGAGGGGCAGATCCGCCCTTCCTACATTCCCAGTTCACGGATCATCGCTCGGCTGCAACAGAACCAGCGCAAGAATTTCCTCTTGGGCCAACTTTTCTAATTTCACATTTTTTCCCGCGCCCGAAGGTGACCTAATAAATTCCAAGAAGCTCATAAAGCGCGGAAACGGCGCGCGCTGGCTTTTAATAAAACCATATATCTCGTTCTTAGATGGAGGGTTCTCCGGTATTTCGGCTGCCGGCCCCATTGGCCAAAGGTTGCCCGTGAATTCCAGCCTGGTCGACTCGGGCCGAGCAAATAAACCGGGCGCACGCGTTCGCTGAACAATCCAGGAATTTCTAATAAGCGTGCGCCCCACTTTCGGAATTCATTTCGCGGCACCTCGACTCGCGGGAACGCGGATAATGAATTTGGATCGCGATATATACTGCTTCTTCCACGGGGACAAAAATCGAAATAATTATGGAGCCATTTTACCGGGTACTGCGATCACATTATTGTAATACTGTTATCGGCCGAATGTTATTAACGCGTTTGCCAACATGCTGGAAACCATCGTTTATGGTCATGGAATTACAAAATTAACTTGCTCTCCATGTTAATAACTAGTTAATTCCTACTATTTTAAATTGATAAACTTTGTATTTTCATCGCTACTTTATTTCTAGTTTAATCAGAGTCTGCACAGTTCATGACACCTTACGTGACGCATCTTTGGTCATGGGTGACGCACTTAGTTTTTAAATAAGTCTTATTTATTTTTAATAATGACTGCACGTCTCTACAATCACTAACCTTCTTCATTTGTGTTAACACTGCAGAGTTAATTAAGTAAATTAGCAGATTTTTCAGCTTTACTTTTTAGTTTCTTAGCTCACTGTAATGGCGGTCAAGTGATACCAAGATGGCGGCTATACGACATCAAGATGGCGGTCACGCGACACCAAGATGGCGGCCAGCTCATTGAACGCTGATGTAAACACACTTCTTTTGTAAAATAATAAAATATATACGATATCCAACGATGACTTAACACTTCTTTCTAAGTATACATTCTTTTTAAACGTTAAGTAAACTTGTCTAACAATTTAATTCGCGTCAATGAAAAATTCTGATGATTTTAATATTAGTTCATATGCAGTGAATTTATGTATACCATGAATTTTTGAAACTAATGGTATGACTTTTCGAAACTGATGGTATTCTAATAATAGAGTGCGTCAAGGCTGCATTAAGGGTGCGTCAGGAATGGACCAAGGATGCGTCATGAGTGCGTCAAGAGTATTTTATGAATGCGTCATGAGTGTGTCAAAGGTGCGTCACGAATGCGTCATTGATGCGTCAAGGGTGCATTAGGAGTGCGTCTTTGGTGCGTCATGAAGGTGTCAAGGGTGCGTCATTGGTGCGTCATGAAGATGGCAAGGGTGAGTCACGAGTGCGTCATTTATGCGTCAAGGGTGCATTAGGAGTGCGTCATTGGTGCGTCATGAAGGTGTCAAGGGTGCGTCATTGGTGCGTCATGAAGATGGCAAGGGTGAGTCGCGAGTGCGTCATTGATGCGTCAAAGGTGTATTAGGAGTGCGTCATTGGTGCGTCATAAGGATGTCAAGGGTGAGTCACGAATGCGTCATTGGTGCGTCATGAAGGCATCAAGAGTATGTCTCGTGCGTCACTCGTGCGTCATCACTGCAACACTGACACGTGACACTCAGAATTAAACCCATCACTTTTACTTCACATAACTCCAGTTGACTCTCCGACAATCAAACTTTACCACCTTACAAATTACCTCGAACTCCAAATTGCATTAAAAATCCGACTAAAATTGATGACGGCCGTAGACTTGTCAAACTATCGTAATTAATCCAGCAACGCTCAATTTACCTCCGGAAATTCAAGTCCGATCCCCGATCGAAAAGAACGGACATTTAAGCCGGGGAAAAATTTAAATTCGTCAGGAAATAAATCTCGTCGATTCTCTTTTCCCCACCCCGTCCGAACGGCGAATCGACGAGACGCATCGAAAAACGCTTTGCCCGGCAGACTGTGCCTCGGGGAAATTTATTCGCGCCGATAGGCACGCGCGTCGAACGTCGAACGAGAAACAGTCTCGTTTAAACGTTTTTTCGACGACAAACGGGTCGAACGATAACCGCGGCTCCTGCCAGAGGGAACAATGATTCCCATTACGGGTCGCAGTTTTATTTAAAAGCTGCCGCGAGCCATTGTTTTCCACGGACAGCCGGTGGACCGCGAATTTTTCCTCGTATCTATTTTTTTTCCACCTTTATCGCCGACGACACGGAATCGAGGCCTTTCGAAGGCTTCTTAGCATTGTTCGCAGCCTCTTCGCGGATTCGACGAAGATTCGGTCTCGAGAATACTTGCGATCGGAGGTCTATTGTGTCGGTATTTATCGGATGCTCCATTTGATAAGTTGCGGTAATTCGGTTAAATCGGAATTTTTCTTCTTACATTCAAATATCACTTTTTTAGTTCGCAAGGAAAATTATATCTTGTGCAGGCAGCCATGCTGACAAGTCTTACTATAAATTTTATATACCTAAAATTAATTTGACAATGTACCATTAGTTCCGAGTGACGAATAAACAATAAACGTTGAGTAGAGGTGTCGAGGCCTTAGGAGGCTTTTGATTCGTACTTTGTACTGTCAAAACAGGCGCAGCGAAACGGTTAATCTCTGACCAAACGAAAGAGAAAGGCGTGGACGGGAAAAGGGACGCGATAGTAGGACAGAAATTTAACGGGTCGACGGTTCAAGTGCGCCTGCGCCTCGACACGGCTTTGTTAAAAAGAAAAACAAAGAGAGAAACCGGCGTAAAAACCAACGCGCGAGAAAAGATTTCCCAAAGGCAAGCGAGATCCATTTCCCGGCTGAAATCCACTCGAAACGAAGGGGAAGCTGTCTTTTCGCTCGCCGTTTCTTCCCTGCCGCGAATTTCACGCGAAAGAGAAACGATGACTTTACGCTACGATGATCAACAGCGACACCGTTTCCTTTCCTTTCGACGCGTTCCTTCCCGGCGCAACTTCGTGGAAAGAAGAAACCGCGTCTCTTTCTCATCGAAATCTCGACCTAATTAGGCTAGACCAATTACGGAGCCGTCCCAATTACCGGAGCCTTTGTGTTCAAATTTTTATTCAAATCGATCAAATAGATGACGTATATAAATAAGCCACCCTTCAGCGTTTATTTGGACATTCAGAGCTCGTTTCAGAAATTCACAGTCCGGCATTCAGGATTTTACCAACACATTCAGAAGTCCATTTTGCAAACTCAAGTTCTGGATAATAAATTTAAATGTGTCAAAGTTTAACTTTAAATAGTTTATTACACGACTCTGGTTATTAAGATATAATAAGATAAATGTATGTAACGTAATAAGATAAATATGAACATGGTACTTGTAGGAACTCAGTAGATTCGTCACAGTCGAAGCGTGGCTCATCAAAATATGGCTCCATAAAATTCTTTGCAGTCGAAAGTATTTTTGCAGTCGGCAAATTTAGTCGAAACGTTTGACAATTTTTTCAGAAATTATCTTTCCACCGTTAACTATTACTATCGGCATCGCGTTTACGTCGTGTAACGCTACAGATTTAATTTTAGGAAAATACCTATTCAAATTGTATTAAATACGACGGTGACCCTTCGAGAGGGTCGAAAGAGAAAGAAAGTCACGTGAATTTTTTATTCAGCTAACTATGCAAATCGTAATCGAACTCTAAGTTGTAGCACATTAATTCGAGGAAGACAGTCGAAGCGCGAGTGCGCGAGGTGTCAGGCTCGTGAAAATGCAAGGGGTGAAAATTATCGTACTGCTCGAACCTGGAGCATTACGGTATAAGGATCCATTGATACGAAACGGCGTCGATACGCAAACATACTGTTCGCCGTGGAGCCCTGGATACTTGACCCTCCGCACTCGAAAGGCGATTTCATTTAATACAATTTCAAATATCTTTGTCACGGTGACGATTAGACGCGAGGATTCCCAACTGTATCCTAGAAATTTCACTGCAAACTAGTTTTCCTAACCAACGCGCGAGAAAAGATTTCCCAAAGGCAAGCGAGATCCATTTCCCGGCTGAAATCCACTCGAAACGAAGGGGAAGCTGTCTTTTCGCTCGCCGTTTCTTCCCTGCCGCGAATTTCACGCGAAAGAGAAACGATGACTTTACGCTACGATGATCAACAGCGACACCGTTTCCTTTCCTTTCGACGCGTTCCTTCCCGGCGCAACTTCGTGGAAAGAAGAAACCGCGTCTCTTTCTCATCGAAATCTCGACCTAATTAGGCTAGACCAATTACGGAGCCGTCCCAATTACCGGAGCCTTTGTGTTCAAATTTTTATTCAAATCGATCAAATAGATGACGTATATAAATAAGCCACCCTTCAGCGTTTATTTGGACATTCAGAGCTCGTTTCAGAAATTCACAGTCCGGCATTCAGGATTTTACCAACACATTCAGAAGTCCATTTTGCAAACTCAAGTTCTGGATAATAAATTTAAATGTGTCAAAGTTTAACTTTAAATAGTTTATTACACAACTCTGGTTCTCAAGATATAATAAGATAAATATATGTAATGTAATAAGATAAATATGAACATTGTACTTGTAGGAACTCAGTAGATTCGTCACAGTCGAAGCGTGGCTCATCAAAATATGGCTCCATAAAATTCTTTGCAGTCGAAAGTATTTTTGCAGTCGGCAAATTTAGTCGAAACGTTTGACAATTTTTTCAGAAATTATCTTTCCACCGTTAACTGTTACTATCGGCATCGCGTTTACGTCGTGTAACGCTACAGATTTAATTTTAGGAAAATACCTATTCAAATTGTATTAAATACGACGGTGACCCTTCGAGAGGGTCGAAAGAGAAAGAAAGTCACGTGAATTTTTTATTCAGCTAACTATGCAAATCGTAATCGAACTCTAAGTTGTAGCACATTAATTCGAGGAAGACAGTCGAAGCGCGAGTGCGCGAGGTGTCAGGCTCGTGAAAATGCAAGGGGTGAAAATTATCG